GTCTCCAGAAATTAATATTTATCATAAAGCGGGTGTATTTTTCTAATAGTTTTAAATTAATGAGTCATCCCTTACGTGACCTGACATTTTGTGGTTTATACTTGAAAATGTCTGTGTGGTGATTGCTCTCCTTACAGTCCCTGCATAGCATTTGCAGCAAAGCTGTTTGAAAGTTGTCCAAAACTCCATATCTGGAGTAAGCTACTTGTCAGTCCCTCATGCATATCTGACTAGATTTAGCCTGCATATACATGTCTACTGTTGCTTTTGTTTCACACAGCAAAGTGACGTCTGCAAATTGTCATTACTAATTGTGCTTTATACATATTCACCTGTTTCTCTGGAATTTAGTGGAACCCCGTTAATCCAGTCACTAATGGGCTACAAAAATCTGGCCATAATGGGGTGGCCGTATCAAAGGGGTTCTTTAAATAAGAAAATGACTGACTGAGCTCTTTTTTGAACCAGAATAAAAAGGTGGCCGTCTTACCAGGGAGGCAGTCAGGCAGGGTTCCACTGTATTATTGAAAATGGACTCTGGCTGGCTATCAACACGAGAGGTTAAACATGATTAATGTGGTGTCATTATACGGCATTATGCAGCATGTGTTTCATGGCCTAACATGTCTGTTCGTGTGTTATTGCTCATGCCCATTGGAAGCAGAAAATGATAGAAAATACTGTTGAAGATCACAGGAGAATTTAAGTTTATCCATCATGCAAGAGAAATGATCTAAACGAAACCATACCAGCATAGCACATGGCAAATTAAAGAGATGTCAATTTTTTTAAGGTAAATGCAACAGTGGAAACTACAAAGACCTATGACCTCTAGATATTTGTTATCAGTTTAGGCAACTGGGTACTGTTCTTTATTCAAACTCCTTCTATTTACCACATCATATAGTGTCTTTTAGAGACGAAAATGAAGCTAAATATTTAGAAAACCAGAAAAGAGAACGTCAAATGTCATGCATGAACTATGCCTGTCACTGCAGGTTAATTCGTTACCATAGCTTAAAACAAAATGTAAAACATGAACAGCACAATACTGGAACATGATTAGCAATGACGATTTGCAGACATCACTTTGCTGCATGAAACAAAGACAATAGTAAAGATCTGCATGCAGGCTAGACTAGAATATATGATAGCCTCTGGTTATCCAGTTCCAGTTATCAACCTTCCAGTTTTGGCGATGACTTGCAGTTCCTATATGATATCAACAAGCTCCACTTCAAAGATGAGTCTTGACTGTGGTGGAATACTATGTCACTCTGCATTAAGGAAAGCTACCAACAAACTTATTGCAAGTTGGGTGCCATTATTCACAAGATATTGCTCTAAGATGCAAATGTCCAGGCATCCAAGATGAAGTACTAGCAGTTAAAGTAAAGCATACAATCTGACAAACACTAACATCATCCAATACATATTTCAGTGTAAATTTTACCCTATGCACAACATACATCGCAATTGTGTGGTTTCAGGTGCTATCATTGCCCACCCTGAGGAGGGTTATTGGAAATTTCAAGGGGGAGAGGGTTCCTAAAAGCCAAAACTGTTAAAAGAAAGTATGAACCAAAACTGGAAATATTTCCAGGGGGGTGGGGGCTCCAACTGAAAAAAAAAAACATCTGTGGGAGAGGCATAAATATTTTCTGGAACAACCATAGGCATATGGGAACTTTCAGACTTTGGGGGGGAAGTGACCTTCTTGCCTGAAAAATTTACACAATGCTGGATCCATGAGTGTTGAAATCAGGATATGAATGCACTCAAATTGCATGATAAACAAAAGCGTTCACAATTCTCAAACCTAAAGAAAACTGTTAGTGTCCTGAGGAACAGGGGGAATTCATACCAAAAATCCTTCATACAGTGGGAGGGGTATGGATAAATTCTAGAACAACACATTCAAGACCAAATATACAGTTTTTGGTTTCTTTAAACAAAGGATACTTTGCATCAATGTTGCCTTTCTTGCCATATGCCCACTCTGGCTCAATGGTAAGTTCTGCCTTCTCACCTTTTGACATGGTCATAAGTCCTTCATCCCACTAAATACAAAAAAAAACACATTCGCAGTCACTTTTATTAGTTTGATCGAGCTAAGCTTCTAAAACACAAATCAGGCCAATATATAGAAGTAGTCCCATCAGTATGAATTTGTTTGAATCAAATCCTAGATGTCGCTTGTGCAAAGGAAGAACTGCACACATTAAAAGAGACTACAGGGTCAGATTATTGTTTACAGTGGTTACTCTGCTGACTTATGACCATTTCCAGGCCATCTGGCAGTTGAATCCTGTCGGGTGAGATGCATAAAGTTTTCTTGGAAGGGAACTTGTTTTTCATTTAGGCCAGACTATCAGTCTGTCTTTGAGTTACATGTACTAGTTTTCATTGAATCTATACCTTTGATTGTAATTGTTCAAGAAACAACATTGTGGTAACTGGCCTGGATTGCCCACCTTTGGGACAAAACACTGTTAGTAATAAGTATTCATCATGAATGCACACTAAAAAGTTGCATCAATTTACTTTTCAACAAACAAGGATAACTAAAGCTGGATATAAACTCACCCCTCGAATGACAAGTCCTTTCCCTACGCGGAATATAAAAGCCTTGCCTTCACTGCTGCTTTTCTTTTTAGTTCCAGCTAAAGCACAGTACAACGCACAGTACAAAATGTCAGTACAGCAAACAAAGTACAGTAAACAAAGCTGGTTTGATCAGAAACACAAGCCAATTAAATACAGCCAAATCCTGCTTTATAGACACCATCATCATACAGACACAAATGCAGACAGTCGCTTTAACTAGCTCCTAGGCTATATGCATTTTATTTTTATTTTTAAAATTAACCTGCTTAATAAGACATCTCATTAACACGGACACTAAGTCTTTCCCTTGCTACTGCAACCTTTTTTGCCACTATTAACTCTGTAGTATGACAACCCCATGCATCCAGCCTCCCAAAACTGAGCAAAGAATTGTAATATATTCACTTAAAAGTATAATAATTTTCAAATTTTCAGAAATTGGTTTTTAATATCCAGGTCATTCTTTGGCCTTTTTTGTGCCTACTGCTCCGACAGATTTGTAAAATAGTTTTATTTTATCTGGACTACCACCCACTATAGAAACCACTTCAGAACAATTTTTGGACCATTAATTGGCAAGAATTTCACACAGTTTTGTTTGATACAGTTTAATTTACATTAAAAAAGTGGTAGTACATTCAGATAAAAGCAGATTTTCCATACCTGCTCCAGAAACATTACTGTCAAACACAACACCATTTTCCAGTTTTCCAGTGTAGAAACATGACACTCTGTCACCTTTTGATGGAAACGTTGTCTTGTCACCATGCTTCAAGATTTTTTTGGTAAATTTTGGCTCCTAAATAGATGAAATGCTAAATAAATCAAATTCATTGGTTAAAATGATATTTATACACACGCATCATAGATTATCCCTCAGCATT